GTGTTAAAAAGACGTGCAATATCAAGAAAAACAAAATGAGCCATGTTGGATCCAAATCAGTTCAGTTGTTTTTTTACTAATCGCAAAAAACTGCCATTTTGAGCCATTTTTTCGAAATCCAACGACTCGCATTCTATACAATATTTAGAGCTGAAATTTAGCACAAGACAGATATCATAGCCCTTATCGTACACACAAAATTCCAGCTTAATTGATTTTAAACTTTTCGCGAACCGCAGCAAAAACCGAAAAAAGGTCCTCTCAAAAAATGGCCATAAAAAAGTTGTAGCCCAACATATGTATATTTTTCAAACGTATTTAGCTTCGTCTATATTTACTCCAAAACTACCTAAAAGTTAGGTAGACGAGCTCGTCGTTGGCTCAGTGGTTAGCATGCTAGCCACCGGAACAACACAGCTCAAGGGGTCGTGGGTTCGATTCCCGGTCGGGGTACTCAGATTTTTTCTGATGGTTCTTGCCGGGTATCGAATTTATGAAACTGACTTAGGATAAAAGATTTAGTTTTTAAGATGAAAAGAAAAATAAAAAAGCGATTGAAAAATTGTGACGCGCTCTCGATAACCGGTCCTGAGTAACCGGGGAGATAAAAAAGATATGATATGCGAATAAATAAAGAACGAAAAATGTAATGACAAGCGAAAATAAGAGAAATGTATAATGACACGATGTAAAACGACATGTTAAAAGACAAAGCAAAATGTTGAATGAATAAAGACAGCGTACACTACCCATACTTAGTAGTCAGAACACTATAATATAAAAAAAAAAAGCTGTACACACACTCGCATGTGGCTACATGTATATATATGCAGCTGCTCTGTTGGCAAATATTTGCCAGCATTCTCGTATGCAGCAGACAAGTTACATGACGATTGCCAAATGATTCATGACTTTGTATTTATACTAGTGACCTAGCAGTTTTTGAAATTGTATTAAATAGTAAAAATTGTAAATTTTTTAACGATATGTTTCTCGGAATTTTCTTAGTTACTTAAGTAGCTCTGTTTTCCTGTATTCTAAAAGGCTCATTGTAACCTGTGTTAAAATTTTAAACTTGCAACTTCATTATCTCAAAAACCAATCTGGTAGGAATATTTTTTTAAAACGAAAAACAAAAATTTAATCTATAACATACATTTATTTCAAGGGAACCAAAGGCAAAAAGTGGTAGGTGATAGACTACCTTAAAAATAAACTATAAAAATATTCAGCTCCCTACCTTGCGGCAGATTCCATGTCTTGAAAAGTGTGTTGAGTGATTGTAGAGCAATGTTGTCTACCAATAAATGCAAATGCAAAACTTTAGTACGATAAAATAAAATTGATTTAACTGTCGTCACCAATGCTGAGACAGAATTATGTCCTGCACAAACTATAGCAACATGAATTGTAGAACAATTGTTTACCTAAATTGAAGCACACTGTGAGGCATATTAAAAATATTAAAAGTCATGGATTTGCGTTGTGCTTACTTTAATTGATTGCGCAGTAGGGCCTGTACTGTGGAGTGAATGATTGTGATAGAATGACTTGTAAATACTTTTGTCTCTTGAGGCAACAAAATGTTTTGTTACTATGTATGGATTCCTTATGATTGGAGCTATATAAGACATAGGCAAAAAAAACTATAATGCCTAAATAAAAGTAAAAATTTTATAAATAAACTCATCTTACCATTGACTGATAGATACAAGTAAAATACAAGAGAAATGAACAGAAGAATACAAAGCCATCCTACCCATGGTCGGACCATTCTGCTATATCACGCATATTTTATTATGCGCTTTACAGCTCTACAAGCAAGTATACCAATACTTTTGCATATTCTAATGGAAACTGCTAAAAGAAATAAAAGTAATAACTAAAAAAAAATTCCAAGAAAGATAAACGAATTTCGTTCACGAGTGACAATTGACAATACTTCTTATATGTCTATGGTTGAGCGTTATGGCAATCTTGCTGTATTGGCCCTAAATGCCCTAATGGTAATGTGTCGGCACCATAGAGATTTTACAGATAGAGTGGGCAAGCCACCGATTCTTCTGTAAGTGGAAGCGTTAACACGATAAAAAGAGATGCAACATCGAGCTACCGTGCGTAAACGTAAAATATCTATCAGCGTTGGGTTAGGCGGATTCAACATCGAAACTTCAGTCATTGGGTGAAGGGCACTTGTGTTATTAATATTACAATTTTTAATTTCCGCGTGTCTTTAGCAATGCCCCTTTACTGCTGTGCTGTCTGCTCGACGGAACATTCTCCCTAGATCGTATAGCTATATATACGATCTAGGGAAAAAGTTCCGATGTTGAATCCGCCAGCACAGAGCGAGATAGAAAGGTAGTTCGCTGTTGCATCTCTTTTGAACGTGTTAACAGTTCCCCTCACAGGCTTGCCTACTCTATAATATCTCTATGGTCGGCACAATTTATACAGTTGCGACACTCAATTTAAAAGTATCCTCCCCCGCAACAGCAACTTCATGCACAAACTCGGCGTCATGCTTAATACACCTCAGTGCAAGTGTACCTCTGTATAAAGAGGCTTTTTCTTTTAGTTTAAGAAGACTTTCTTCTGCCCGAAAATTTAAAAAGGCTCTTTCTTAACTTTTACTCTAAAAAGACTCTTTCTTGCACTCACCCGATGGTAAGTATCATTGTTAAAAGTATTACGATGCTTTTTCTGCATTCAATGTAAATTATCAAACTTTCTTAATAATCTACAGCCTAAAAATATGTTTATTACAATCATTACCCTTACAGGTAATTCAGTTTTTTTTTTTTTTTTTTAAATTTTCAGCTTCTTTTTATTTGCT